TTTCCAAATTTAATAGCTACCTGTGATAATTCATTCAGCTTCCCAGTGAATGCTTTTTCAAGTTATAGCCTATACCTGCTCTTCCCTAAGAGAGAAACCCACAGTTCCTCTCAGTGGATTTCCAAACTCGAGCACTCCATCTTTGCTGCCCAGATTTCTCTCCAGCAAACACAAGTGGATTTGGTCAACGGTAAATAAGCAGTCACCTCTCAGAGTGGTAATCACGTCCGGGTGTTCATTACTAAACCAGGATTTTTAATGTTAACCAAAACTCCACAGAAGGCCCAGAAACTCAATCAGTAAAACAAAGCACTGCACTGACCTCTTCAACGATCATTCTTGCCTATTTTTGAGACACTACAATGGGAAGGTGGGGTGACAATTAGCAGACCAGAAATCAAGTGAAGCTTACACAACCCTGATCCTACTCTTGGGACCTCTGAGATCAAGTTTTGAGAGCCTGTATCCAAAACCAAACTATGGCATATAATGTGGCACAACCTAAGAACTTCCAAGGATGCATGATCTTCAGTAGTCAAAAAAGGAACTTTCTGGAGAAGAAACTGTTCTCCTGAAGGATGAACAAGAGCACTTTTTTAGGTAAATTAAAAGTTTGGTGATGACTGGGAGAAGCCAGAATGACAGAAAAATTGCTAAGAAGAAAAAAAAACACCATGCAAATATAGAGTTGTATCTGCTTTGAATAAAATAAAAAGCAAACAATAAAAATAGAAACGCAAGTAACTGACCACAAGGTGCTTTCATTCAGGATGATCTCATTTAAATTGGACTATGTCAAAACCAATCACTCCTGTGAAAATTATGACTAAACAAAGTTACTAAATACCACTACTTATTAAAGTTATATCACACCTTATGCATCAAAACTAATCAGACATCTTAAACAAAGCACTATAAAGTTTATTAGAATGGAAGATGTCTAACAGAAAACAAGTAAAATTAAGATTTTATTAAAAACTTCTTCCTTAGCTTAGTTCAGATCTAGGATCTACCAGGCCATAAGTAAGGTGCTTTACTTTTATTTTAAAAGTAACCAAGAAAGTTGGCCTCCAATTTTTTTCCCCCACTTGTAGGATTTAGGTACTCACAGCTATGTTCTTTGGAAGAGCTTTGCTAACCAGTGACGTTTCTCACTTACTAGAGGTTGGCACCAAACGTCACTCTGAGTAATTACAAGTATTTGCTGAGTTCAAGTTCTTTCTGCACCTTCATTTTTTCTTTCTGTTAAACAAGGTGTCTTTCTGAAGGAGGGTGGTTATCACACTCAGCTCCCTGTGTAGCCTCAGTTTGTTTTGCTATGGAAATCTCAACAGGTAACGTACATCCAACGGTAACATCACAGCCCACACACCACAGCCAGTGTTAAGAACGACATAGACTTTGTGGGAGTCATACCATAAAATATATGCTGAAGATCTAACCCACAATGATGGCACTTTTTTTCCCCAAAGCATCAAAAGACAAGGTTTCTGGGAGTCAGCAACATTTGTTTTCATTTAGTTAGGCCTGTTTTGTTGTGCATGGTTGCAAGAAATCTATTAATGCTTTTCTCTTCTAGTTTTTTGAGGATAAAGCCAGACTTACATCAGTTACAAAGAGCCTCAAGGCAGAATATAGTAATGGACAAGTAGTCTTATAATTCCTAGTACTAAAAAAAACAAACCAGAAAAAAAAAACCAACCCAAACCAAAAAAAAACCCCAAAGAAACCCCAAAACCCATTTCTGCTGTAATTTTAGCAAAAGCAGCCACTGTTAAAAATAGAGGCTGTTTTGATTCCCCCCCCCCCCCAACTTAAAGGCCTAAGAACTGCAACTAATGGTTCAGTACAATTTTTTCAGCTCTTTTTTTAAGTGCTTATTTTTGTACCAAGTGATATTTACTGCACTCTTAATACTTCACCCAAATTTAGCAAGCTATAAATTAATCCCATAAAAACAAGTGCAGTATGTTTTTAATTTCTAGAAAATTCTCTTCTGTAGCTGTATTCCAAAATGACACTACAGCTTTTTACAAAACCACCAGTGTAAGGATTTTAAATGTAATGAAAATGACAGGAACTAAAGAAAGCCAAAGCATGTCAATTCTAAAAAGCTAAGTTTATCCAGTTGTTCAAGATGTAATTAACCTTTTGTGTATTTTGTCTACAAAGACAACTTAATGGTCTTCTTTCTGAAAATATTGTTAAAAAGAAACATCTCCTTACTAGGTCACACATCTGAACACAAACGCAATTATCAAAACATGACCTATTTGTGAAAAGCGAAAAGTAGATCACATTTTAAATGAGATTACAGCATTAGACTTGCATAGAAAAAGAACAAAGTGGGAGATTGGAAAGATTGTTCCCTGGCTATACAGCATTCTGCAGTGACAAATAATAATTTGAAAATTGTTTACCTTCTTTAACCATCTCACAACATTCTGGTTGTTGCTGGGCAGGAAAAATACTATTATTTTCAATATACAGATTCATTGCAGTAATCAAATGCAAATACAATGTCCCACTAGTTCTATAAAAATTATGTTCTGTAATACCAGATCACTTCTTCAGAAGAAAAAAAAGAACTGAGAACATCTAACTTGCTATAAAATTAGTGTTCACTTCTATTTATAAGGGCATCATGCAACATGACGCCTTGTGCACCCATCTAATCTAATCTCATTTCTAAAATCTAGTTTTTCATATTCCCTACCAGTTCCTGATGCAGGGAACCACATTTCAAATTAGATCCATCCTGTAAATACATCTACTGTTGACATAATGTGTTCAAAAACAATGCCTCCTGAAATATGTGTACAGTGGGAATACATCATGTGACTGAAAAATAAAAGCTAATTACACAGTATGCATGTCCAAACATACATGATATGAAAATTGACCAATAACATTAGAAGCAATATCTCAATATTCTTCTCCAATTCTGCAAAAAGGCCTTTTAAAAATTAATTGGGAGGTGGTCAAATATCATGTACCCATTAAAGAACCTTCTAGTGACTGATTTGTTTAGTGTTTTAAAGCAGAAATGGCAAAATGGATGAAGGGAGGGAGTAAGGAGTGAGGGAAGTAGTGAGGGAGAAGGGGGAGAAAGAGAGAGACACTCAGCCAACCTGAGCAAAAGTTTTGTTACAATATCAAGCAAAGGCTATGTTCAAATGCTTTCTCTTCTGTAACCTGCAGCATGTCAATTGCTGTTACTACATCCCCTCGCAAACCTTCCTATCTAGGTACTTCAGTGACCTAGATTCTAAAATATTAATTCCACTTACTCACAATGTCATGCTTCTTTCTTGAGAAAGAGACTAGAGATTAATGAATGAAATCACTCATACTGGTTTCCTCAACTTCAAGTAATTCACTGTTTGCGTAATGATCCACTGTAAACCTTTTGGATAGCACTGAAAATTTGCTTACATACTCAGTAGTTAAACCCTCTCGCAGGAACCTTAATGAAGTTGAAGACAATCAAACATCTGTCAAAGTCTTTTCAACTCTAAAGCATAACAAAGCATCAAACCACTGTGTATATTTTCCAGTCATTCACTGCAGAATGCCAAATCCAAATACTTGTTTATATTTTAGGAATTTTCTCACTTAAAAATTTTAAAATAATCAAATTAAAAAAACCTATTTCCTAATCATAGGAAAATCTTAAAAACAGTTGCCCCTATTTAAATGTTAGCAGCGGCTCAGAAAGTATTTTCAGTAACTTCAGTCCAAGAAAGGCTGAAAAACTATTACTCAGAGCTAAGGAAGCCTCCCAAAAATCTTATAAACTAAATGGAACAATTTGTTGCCTCTTGCACAGTGTTCCAATAAAAGGACAAACACCAGCATGAAATACAGTATCAGCTGCAGGACATTAATGATCTATTCACTTCTAGATATTTTACTGACTTTATTTATTTAAAGAGCCTTGAGGACCTGCTTCACTTCAACGACAAGACATTAATTCAAGGACAGAGGTATCTTCATGAAGTACCTAATCAAAGACTCATTCTTCAGTAGACTGTCATTTAACTGCAGGATTCTACTGGTTTCATAGAATCATAGAACAGTTAGAGTTTGAAGGGACCTTAAAGATCATCTAGTTCCAACCCCCGCTGCCCTGAGCAGGGACACCTTCCACCAGACCAGGTGGCTCAGAGCCCCATCCAGCCTGGCTTTCAATGGTTTCCACTCGTAACATTCTGCCAAACCAAGATCTGACTCAATGTTATTAAGTAAATGAATCTAAAAACTCTCTCTGAGAAACAACTTATTCCTCAGAGTTTTGTGCCAAGATTTCGAGTGACAAAAACCATTGCATATATAATCAAATGTATAAAATTAATTGCTTTAAACTTGGTACACTTGACTTCACTTTTTGACAATACATATTGGCAATATCCTGTTGAAAAAAAATTATATTAAAACTGATCAGCAGAGATACAGAAACATAATGATTTGATGGTGAATTCATAATGTAAATTTTAGAGAGAAATTACCATCCTCAAAACCTGGTATAAGTCGATGAAAATCACGAACTATTAACAGGTTTTACTACTTCAGACCAAGTGCATATTAAACAAAATTTTAGAAGGCCTTAGTAGCTAACTTTCTATCAAGAGCTGATGTTTAACGTTTCTACAATGTGTTAAAGACTGTATTAATTATACCAACCACAAGAATGCAATAGTAAAAATTAAATTCTGGAGTACTTGGATGTCACAGAACACTATTCTTTATGAAAGCAGCAGGGCAAATCACCTGTACTTCAGTTAGGATTTAGCTCTTTCTACTACTCAAAAAAAAAGTCCAACTTGATTAGGAACATTTTAAAAGAAGTAAGGCACGGTGATTCATACTTATGAGTATAAATAGTTGTGGCTATCCTACTACCTGTCAAGAACTAACCATGCACATTCATGTTATTCCTCTGATCTAACCCTTCTTAAGTTACAGTTGAAATAACATTGTTCAAGGGAGAGCTTACATACCCATTTCATTAATAGTTGCTCTTGCTTTTGAGACAAACGAACTAACTTCACTTGAGTGCATTTTTGCTCTTTCTTTAAGGTCAGCACCTGTAAGTGACATTTCACATAAGGTTAACAAGCTGTATATAGTAGTGTAAATACATTTTCAAAAGTAAAATATTCCTGTATTCCAAAAAAAATTTTCTACTTTGAGACAAGGACAGTTCAAATTGGTCACATTCATTTTCCACAGATTTCAAGGAAAACATGGACTGTTTTTGAAGGAAAAAAAACAAAGTAACAACAAAAAAAATCAAATTACCCACCACCAGATTTTCTCTAAGTATATTCTTCCCACTGACATTTCTTCTTCTCATATTAAAATAGTTTATGAACAATAGCATTTATGCTAATATTTCATCTGACATTTACTTTTATTTTCCCAACTGTGTCACAAAGTCTGATATGTATGTGTTTTTCATATTGTGCTCTAGTTATTCTTTTATTGGTAGATCATAAAACACCTAGGGTGCATGATTTTAGTTTAACAGACTATATTTATCTCAATAAAAAATTCTACAGTAGACCTAGTATCATTTTTCAACTCACTCTACTGATATGTATTTTTTAATAAGTTACATATTTTTTGTTCTTCCAAAAATGCTAAAACTTGGAATTTTTAATCTATTTCTTCATGAATATATGAAAATAATTCTGTTTAAAAAGCACACTGTAACTAGAAATGGTTACAAAAATGTGCTTTCAAAAATTTACTGATATGCAAATGTGACATCTTTTCTCATGAGTGTGTAAAGAAAAAGAGAAACAGACAGTAATAATAATAATAGCTAAATACAGAGTAAAACAGGAATTCCATCTTTCTTATAGAGGAAGAATATATGAAAAAGACAAAATCTTCATATACATATTTATTGTCCAAAGAAGTGCAACATTCCAACCGTAACTTAGTAAACATTTTTTTCCATTTGGTAAAAATTAACCTCTTAAGTTAGTCTCTTGGCATATGTCTGAAAAGGCTAAACAAGGCATTTAACCAACACAAAAAACAATTTTATATTTCTCTGAGAATCAACATACTCTGCACTCAGGAAAATGCACTGGACTTAGATTAAGTTAAAATTGTAACTCTGAATTTTAAATTAAGCAGTCATACATTTCTGGGCTTAACTCATGCTAGACCCTCTTGACCCTCTTCTTCAAACATAGTTTTAGATGTACTTTTGTTGACAGCATTAGTTGAAACTCACAACTCTAGCCCATCTCTGTGAAAATCGGTATTTCAATCTGACACTTTCTGATAGACATCCAGCTGCTGTTTTAAGGTAACACACCCAGTAAAGCAGCTCTACATCTCCCCTTCTATTTCCATCACAGCAGAGCTCCACATTTCATTAAGACTTTTGCTGTCCTTCTATGCATGTCAATATAAAAACAATGAAGCATCAGTCCTGACTGTATTTGCATGTTTCCCACTAAATAATGTCAAGTTTCATTCACACTGCCAGACACCTTGCCAAAAGCTTCCAAACAACCTTCTAGGATGTGCCCCAGCTGAAGACAGTATGAAAGGTCAGTTGACCAGGCAGAATAAAACTGGTATTACTGTAGTCGTTTGCACTGCAGCAAAATTGCAATTGCTGCCTTCACAATTCACAATCAATGCACAAAGAAGTCTTGCCAGGAACCTGAAAAGTAAACAAAACTGCAAGCAACTTTCACAAAGGCATTTATGTATAGGGGTTTGTAGCTAAAAGGAGCTTTATAAAACTCGATGACAAAACCTGCTTTAAAAGTTCTATCAGCAAGTGTTCAAATGAAAAAATACCACTTCTCTGATATCAGTTAATTCCTGGGTCTAGCTTCTACAACTTTGTTCAAATCACTGCCTATATAAGAACAATAAGAAACTGTGTGCTTTACGAACAAGAAAAGTGTATGGCTGTGCAATCTGACTCAAAACTTCCACTCACTGAAATCCTGCTCACTGGGCATATTCTTGAAAAGCATATGAAAAAAACTTCAAAAGAGAGGCACTAAACCTAAAAAATACTTCCAGTATTACTGTTAAGAAAATCTATTGTCAAGATAAGACTAAGGCAATTTTTAGGTTTTGATTTATTCAAACTTATTGAAAAATGGACTTAACCCAAAAAAACCTAACCCTTCTAAAATAAAAGATACACAAACTGCAGACTTCTTCCTTCATTTAGAACATACATTGCCTTGAAAATATTTACAGGAATCTATTACATTTTCAACAACTTTTGTAAGAATGAAGTAAAAGGTAGCTGCCAATTTCAAACTAATGATTTTGAGTACTGTAAAAAAATTTCTAGTACAATAGCTGATCTTAGTGCCTTAACCAACTTTTGTAATCTTACATTTCCCTTTTTAAATATTTCTCCCCCATAACTGTCAAGGAAAGGGAAAAAGTTCTTTTGCTAGCCCTTTCCTATTTTAGCCCTCCAAAGCATAATAATAGTAACTGAAACTTTTTCAGAAAGAAGACTTTTAGGCCAAAACCATTCACTGATCTCCAAGAGAACACATGCCTTGGCATCATCTGGTTCACAGGAGATGGATCTGCCACCCACTTAATACTTTTGTTCCTGTTATAAGATTCAACCACCGATCAAAGAATACTTGAAGAATTCCTTGACCCATATAGCAGAGACCTATTCACATGTTTCTTCGAAATCTGTTCTCAAGTCAGAAGTAGGAAAGGTTAAGTTTCTGAAGACAGCCATGAAGGAGAGTGCAGGTTCAACCAGAGACTTCTGCTCTCACAGCTACTGAAATCAAAGATCTCTTCTCTCACCGCAAGTTTGCTACTTTATAGTATCTGAAAATAGTATGTGCTCAACTGCTGAGAGCAACAAAGTAGCTACGCTTTTCAAACCACGAAAACTCTCATAGAACTAACCTCTGTAACTTTCCCATGAGCCACAGTTGAAATCTGTGGATACCTTTAGCCTATCTGCTTCCCCACATCCACTCCCAACAGACTCCGGGGACTGTACTGTTGATCCGTGACTCCACACCACACTGAACGCATGGCTCTCTAAGCCCTTCTACCCAAAGATGTAAGAAAGGGGGAACCCAAGCTACCAGTGAGCTGAAGCAAACTAACCATTGCAGATTTGATTGTACACTGTAATTATGTCCCCACATCCATCCGGTTTGTACTAAAGCATGAATCATTGTTTTCTCCGTATTACACTTTCTGGCGTCTCGATGCTTTGCCCCACTAATTGATTCTCATCCACTCAGAAATGTAGCAAAAGCTAGCCAAAACTAACTGTGTGGCTTTAGGGATCATGCTCCCCAATTCTCACCTCTCTGCTTCCAGCACTTTATGAACTCCCTTTTAAAGACTATGCAGTGACATTTTCACATTACTAGCTGTTAGTACAGGACAAAAGAGAATCATGGAATCGTCTAGGTTGGAAGGGACCTTTAAGATCATCGAGTCCGACCATCAACCTAACACTGCCAAAACCACCACTAAACCATGTCCCTCAGCACCACATCTTTTAATACCTCTAGGGATGGCGACTCCACCACTTCCTTGGGCAGCCTGTTCCAATGCTTGACAAACCTTCCAGTGAAGAAATTTTTCCTAATATCCAGTCTAAACCTCCCTGGTGCAACTTGAGGCCATTTCCTCTTGTCCTATCGCTTGTTACTAGTCAGAAGAGGTCAACCACCACCTCTCTACAGCCTCCTTTCAGGTAGTTGTAGGGAGTGATAAGGTCTCCCCTCAGCCTCCTTTTCTCCAGACAAAACAACCCCAGTTCCCTCAGCCGCTCCTCATGAAGTGCAACAGTGAAAGACCACATCGACAGTGCTATCAGCCACTTCATCCTACAGCTACACTAGGATTAACACAGGTACTCTCCACTTGTGAAGAAACCCATCTTGAAACAAATTAATTCACAGAAGCATCACTTCCAAATTTACAAAGTAAACAGGTAGGAGAGAACTTCCCTGCAGACTTCCAATGAACAGTCCTGTTTGCAAAATACCAGTACTAACAGCAGTCTTTTGGAGGTCGGCTGAGCAGCAAATACATAAACTGGTATTTACAGATCAACCCCTGGAAGTACTGCAAGGAAGATGCATGCTGTTTTAAATACTACCTGCACTTCTACTGAGGTTTGTCAATCCAAAAGAAAATCTGTTTGATTTTGATCCATCACTTTCTTATCTCCCCCCTCCAATACTGGAAAAACATAGAAAGGTTAGTAATTTTTTATCTTATTTCCCGTAAGTATAAAAACCCTGATGTAATCAACTAAATCTCTTTGCATGTTTTTAAATATTTGGCTACTCAATAGTTGGCTGTTGTACACTGTCAGTCTAGAGAGTTTTTGCAGCATGTGCCTGACTAGCATTTCACAATGATGCCAGAGAAAATATTTATTTGAGAAAGCCAAGGGCAGTCCAGCAAGATAGGCATATTGCTGTTATTCACCAGAATTTTTCCACCTACACTTCTATATGACAAGGACGGTTATTTAACTCAGAGAACACACCAAATGAAATCAAGTTTACAGTGATTACTCTGACCCCATGCCTCTTGCCTTATTTGGATAACTTCACACACTTTCTAAACAGAATTTATATATTGTTAAAAACCTAAGTGGTTCACTTGAAAAATCTCTTCCAACATCTTTGTATAAGCCTCACTTTCCAAATACCATAAATGCCTAGAAATTTTCTTGTGCAGTAATGTTCTATGCTATGCTTTAACACATACTTCCAAAACACACCACAAAAGCTGTGAACTAGAGGCATACAATTTAATAGTTTATATATCATACTTAAAATTTAAACTTTACTCAATAAATATTTTTTATTAAAATATAGGTCTTTTAGAAACCTGGCACACCAAAATTAAACAGTGACGTTATTCTACCAAGTGCCGAAAGGTACCCAAAGTGCCTTCTCTCTGAGAAGAGGAAAGGAAGTGACACATGCACAGGCATTTGAGGTAGAATAAACTATTAAATTCTTACTGTAGCAGTGTTATTTTGAGCTTGCCCTTTGATCTTACTAAACATAGATCGACCAATTCTGTCAGCACA